TTAAATCTAAAGTCTTCTAAGTTTGGGTTTAGTAATTGGAAATATGATAGAATGGTATATTTCCCGCTTCGGAGGCTTATTTCCCGGACGCCGGGAAATAAGCGGTATTTACCGATATTTACCGCTTTTTACCAGTATTTACCACTTTTTACCAGGAAATACCGGAAAATATATTTTTCCACTCACTTGTTCCTCGGGATTGTCCAATTTTTAACATAATAACAATGGTGGTGAGTATGGTTGCTCTTGTGTGTACTATTTGTGTGTGTGTGTGTGTGTTTGTTCGTGTGTTTGCCTATGTCTGTAATTATGTAATGCTGGAAAAAAATACAGGAAAAAGATACCAAATATACACCTAATCTAGATATGATGTTCTTCATTAAAGGGAACCTAAACCTTCATACTAAGTTACTTTTATAATAATAATAATAATAGTACATTTATAAAGCGCAGAAACTATCCAACATTAGGTATATATTCTACTGCGCTACAAGAGCTCCTGATATGCTTAGATTTATGGTACAGTTAATTAAAAAGAAGTGTTTTCAGTTTTGACTTAAAGACGTTTACAGATGGTGATTTCCTGACTTCAAATGGCAAGTTATTCCAGAGTTTTGGGGCTGCACAAGCAAATGCTCGATCACCTAGCGTTATTTTTGTTTTGATAGATGAGATCTGTAGCAACAAAGTATCTCGGGAACTGCGCAAGTTGCGATTGTGTTGATTAGGTTTGAAATTCAACAGTTCTTTGATATAAGTGGGAGCTTGACCAAGAAGTGCTTTATATACAATCAGCAAGATTTTGAATGTTATTCTCTGGCGTACTGGTAACCAATGTAGATTTCTTAAAATTGGGGTGATCCGTGTGAATTTAGAACAACCACAGATCAGCCTTGCACTGGTGTTTTGAACCCTTTGCAATCTCACTATTTGACAGTCAGGGATCCCATACAGTAGACCATTACAATAGTCCAGCCTATTGGTGATACATGCATGTACAATATCTTTCGTAATGTCCTTATCTAAATATTTACGAATACGTCTGAGATTATAGATCATGTAGTATGCTGATTTACAGACATTTGTGATGTGCTCTCTCATATTCAAATTCGAATCGAACTGTACTCCAAGATTTCTTGCACTAACAGATGGTTCTATTACAGAGTCTCCAATTGATACACTGTTTAAGTTGATTTTGGATGTCTGTTTAGGTGTACCAATGATCATTAATTCAGTTTTACCATCATTAAGCATGAGCCTATTTTGCAACATCCATCCACGTACATAGTCAACACATGTTTCTAGGAGTGAGACACATCGCTCTTTAGCATGTCCATCAGGTCTGAATGATACATACAGCTGTGTGTCATCTGCATAGCAGTGGCATGATATCTCGGGGAAATTTGTTCGAACATTTGAAATGAGATTAGCAGTGTACAGAGTAAATAACAAAGGACCCAGCCGAGAACCTTGTGGAACTCCGAAAGGCACTGGCAAATCATCAGAGATCACATCGTCTATTTTGACCTTCTGATATCTATTCGCCAAATACGACTCTATCCATTCAAGAACACTACCATCTATGCCAAAACAGGTCTTTAAAGTTTCTAATAAGCAAGAATGATCTATGGTGTCGAATGCACTACTTAGATCTAATAACAGTAAAAGATTGACTTTCTGGGAATCCATAGCCATCAATAGATCACTCTTTATTCTTAGCAGTGCAGTTTCAGTACTATGGAATATGCAGACTGAGTACATGGCAAAAGTGAGTTGTTATTGAGGTGATCCATAATTTGCTGGGTAGCAGCACCCTTATTGTAAAGTTTAAGATATTTGAATAAAATCAGTGAAAAATTGAACAAAATCGGGCAAGGAATAAGGAAGTTAAAGCTTTTTTAAATGACTAGTCAATAGAGGGCGATATTCAATTTGATGACATCATAAGTGGACAACTCTCCATGCCTATTGTACATCAAATTTCACAAGTCTTTCGTTTTTTTCCTATTTATTTGTGTTCTTGATCGGATTTCATAACATCTGAAGTAGAATATCATTTTACATTCTATTTCTCAATCACAAGAAAGAAGGAAAAACATGAAATTTGATGTACAAAAGGCATGGAGAGTTGTCCACAAATGATGTCATCAAATTGAATATCGCCCTCTAGTGATTAGTCATTTCAAAAAGCTTTAACTTCCTTATTCCTTGCCCGATTTTGATCAAATTTTCACTGATTTTATTCAAATATCTTAAACTTTACAATAACAGTAACTTGTATGAAGGTTTTGGTTCCCAGTTGCTATTTACCATATTCATGAATACCTATTAATTAGCATATGCACAAAATGCCATTTGTTTGGGTGTGTACAATTTTGTATGCAGTGAGGATTTTATAAATCTGTTTGTGTGTTCCTACTATGAGTATTGTGCTGCTAATTATTTCAGAACAATATTTTCAGTTATGAGGCTAAAAACAAGTAAAATTATTAATAAATAGAGAATTAAAATCATATTTCCTGTTTTTTACATATTTACCGGACGCGCAACTTATTTACCGGACGGTATTTACCAGTATTTACCGCTAGTAATTACCGCCACCGGTATTTACCGCCCAACCCTGTGATACATGTAGATAGCTGGAATTCTTACAGTTCTAGAGCAAAATTGCCTTTATTCGATTAACAATCATTCTTTCATTCACTTTTTCCTTCAAAATTAGGTTTTTAAAGTAGAGAGTGCCTTATATACTCTGAGAACCTGTGCTGAACATTGTGCTATCTTCAAGGCTGTCTGTGTCACAGAATAACAAAAATATTCTACATTGAGTTTTCTCAAATTTTTCTTCCAAAATCAGAATGTAGCTTTAAATCTGTGCTGATCATTGTGCATACATACAATAATATAAAAAAGCATTCAAACACATAAAGAAAAACATAAAGAAAAACATAGCGATTGGGAAAAAATATATCAAAACAATATGAACCTTGGAATCTACATGTATGCTGGATCTTCTGTACCAGTATTGACTTTTTCCATTTTTTCTCCAAAAGCAGGATGTAATGTAGACAGGCGCGTAGCCGCAGAAGGCACGTGCTGAACCGCTAGCTATGTTCAAGGCTGTCTCAGAATTATTTTTTTTGAATCTACATTTACTTTTTCATTTTTTTCTCCAATATCAGGATGTAATGTAGAGAATTACATGTACATGTACATTACATGTTGGATGCCTACTTCTTGGTCAAGCTCCCACTTATATCAAAGAACTGTTGAATTTCAAACCTAATCAACACAATCGCAACTAGCGCAGTTCCCAAGATACTTTGTTGCTACAGATCCCACCTATCAAAACAAGAATAACGCTAGGTGATCGAGCATTTGCTTGTGCTCCGCCAAAACTCTGGAATAACTTGCCATTTGAAGTCAGGAAATCACCATCTGTAAACGTCTTTAAGTCAAAACTGAAAACACATCTTTTTAAAGATGAAGTTGAGTTCTGGTCATGCGATTGCATTGTGAAAGAAACGGTGTGGAATCGAATAGAAAAGGTCGATCATCAAGCATAGAATTTGTGTGTATTGCAAGGTTCTGGAATCATCAAAATGATAAGAAATTCGGTAAAGTTACAAACACTGTACACAGAAACATGTATATGGGACTACACGAACACGTGGCGAAAAAATCCCACCCCCGAGTTTTACGATGTTACATGACATATTTAGAATATAAAGGCATTTGAAGAGCCATGCTTTTCAGGGAACATGTCTTATCTGATGTTCTTCAACACTTGCATAATAAGAATGATAACGCTCACAAATTATATTTCACCTCTTCCCAGAACTCAACCTTCTCTTTAATTAACTGTATATTCTTGGAATCTGTGCTGAACGGTGTGCTACATGTATGTTCAAGGCTGTCTCAGAATTATTTTTATGCCTCCGTTACGAAGTAGCCGGAGGCATTATGTTTTCGGGTTGTCCGTCATGTATGTATCTTGCAGAGCCGATGAACTTATTAGATTTTGGGGTCACAAGGTCAAACGTCAAAGGTCACAGGGCTCATTATGTATGCAAAAACAGCTCGTGATCGCGTTATCTGAAGAACCGATTGATGGATTCCTGCCAAACTTTGGTCATGTATGTATCTTGCAGAGCCGATGAACTGATTAGATTTTGGGGTCACGAGGTCAAAGGCCAAAGGTCACAGGGCTCATTATGTATGCAAAAACAGCTCGTGATCGCGTTATCTCAAGAACCGATTGATGGATTCCTGCCAAACTTTGGTCATGTATGTATCTTGCAGAGCCAATGAACTGATTAGATTTTGGAGTCACGAGGTCAAAGGTCACAGGGCTCATTATGTATGCAAAAATAGCTTGTGAACGCATTCTCATTAGAACAGATTGATGGATTCCTGCCAAACTTCATTTATGTATCTTGCAGGGCCAATAAACTGAGTAGATTCTTGGTTCATAAGGTCAAAGGTCAAAGGTCATGGGCTCATTATGTATGCAAAAATAGCTTGTGAACGCATTCTCATTAGAACTGACAGATGGATTACTATTTAACTCAGGACATCTTGCAGAGCCAACGAACTGAGTAGATTTTAGGGTCAAGAGGTCAAAGATCAAAGGGTCATATATGTGTATGAGAAATTGCTTGTAATCACGATATTCTGAGAAACTGTTAATGGATTACAATTGAACTTGAATTTCAAAAAATTCTTCTGATTTGGTTTGTAAAATTGCTTTAAGACGGAGGCATCATTTTCGACTGCGCGTAGTCGAAGTTCCATCTAGTTTGTTTTAATCTACATTTACTTTTTCAATTTTTTCTCCAATATCAGGATGTAATGTAGAGAATGCCTACATTACATGATCCTGTTTTGTATACTCTTGGAATCTGTGCTGAACGGTGTGCTATCTTCAAAAAGGCTGTCTCCCAATTTATTTGAAAAAATAAAATAAAAAATTGAATTTTTCCACTTTTCTTCTTTATCAGGATGCAATGTAGAGAATGCTTCATATACTCTTGGAATCTGTGCTGAACGGTGTGCTATCTTCAAGGCGGTCTCAGAAGGATACAGGCACTTCAAGGCTATGGCCATCTCAACGTAAGTTATCAAGACTCACCCTCTCCCATTCAGACAGAGCAAAAGTCATTGTACCGGTATACAGAGCTGCCAACTAGTACGGATTTCCCGTAATTGGTACGGAAATTAACGACCATTACGGAATGTTGTTTAAAATTACGGATTTAAAAAAAAAAAAAAAAAAAAAAAAAAAAAAAAAAAAAAAAAAATTATATATTTTTTTTTCCCCCCATTTTTCCTGGAAGACTGTGTTGTGATGATATGAAACTCATTATTTAACAACTTTGTGTGAGTAAAATCACCAAAAATGTCAGATAATCATGTGTCTGTGCAATGTTGGCGTGCCGTTTTTATTAGAGTCATAGCGCCGCATAGGAAATTACTGATTTATACCCAAAATTACTGATTTTGAGCCTTGTGATTACTGATTTTCGGTTCTGGAGGTTGGCAGCTCTGGGTATAGCAATACGATATGGGGTTCTTTTTTATAGTCTGAATGCTCTATAACAAACGTTGTGTGCTTAGAGGTAAAGATCAGTTTTGGAAATGCCCCCCTCTCAAAAAATGAAATGGAGTCTCTTATTACCAATCATGTGAACGAATATGTTTTGACTTATACGGAATGATACAAATTTTGCCGAGAAACTGCCTACTAATTGATATAAATTTGATATAAATTTGGTAAATTATTATATCTATTTGGACCTGATAGATATAGTCCCATATACATCTTTCTGTGTACAGTGCTTGTAACTTTACCAAGACTGGGCCAAATTTCTTATCATTTTGATGATTCCAGAACCTTGCGGTTCATATGCTAGATGATCAACCTTTTCTGATCGATTCCACGTTTCTTTCACAATGTAATCGCATGACCATAACTGGTCTTTATCTTTAATTTCACAGATTAGGTAATGCTCGGGCAGTTACATTTATGTACCCTCAGCATGAAAAAAAGAAATTCAACACTCTTATTTGCCCAAAATTTTCATATAAAACTTCAAGAAAATACAATGAAATATATATTTTCATTTTCAATTTTATTTCACCAAATCAATTAAAATAGAAACATATCTTTATCCCCAACTGATGAAAGTTTTCTGTATCAACATACATGTACATATAGATTGTACATTTATACATAATATAGTATTAATGACTGCTTTGAGAGAAATAGTTGTTTTATTACGCTCAAGGGAAGGTTAGAATTGTGCTATTCCCCGAGGCTTGCCGAGGGGAATAGCCCAATTCTAACCTTCCCGAGAGCGTATGAAAACAACTATTTCTCGAATATTAAAGCAGTCATTAATACTTTTATATGCCGAAAAAAAATAGACTAAAAAATGAAAAATTAAAAATATTTATCATTTTTGTCGAAGATGGGATTCGAACTCTTGCGTACAACAAGAGGTGTACCGAAAACCAACGCTTAGACCACTCGGCTATGGCCCGCCGTTAACATGCTTGGCAGTTTTCTCCAATATATACATTAAAATGGATTGAAACCGGCTTCGCGTGTGATGAATGCTTCGCAAAAGCTCCATATACGGACTCTTCTTTTACTTTTGCAATGCATATTGGCACGAACTTAGATCAAGATCTATCGGCAGATGTTGTTTTTTTGTTTTTGGAAGTTTATTTTCGTCTTCATGTCAACAATGCAAGATAAAATTGTCGGTAAGATCGATCGAGATTCAATTGTATTGAAATTACCGACCAATCCTTCGCACACATACGGCATCCTCCATCGCTCAAACCATTTTTTAACATGTAAACCTATGGGGTAACCATGGACGCTGACCAACTTTTTTTAATAACCATGGTTATTAAAAATATTGAAATGTTTTATGCATGGTTACCGAGAATTTTACAGGAACAGTTGAAGTTTATGAATGCAATTCGACCAATCAGATGGCTGGATTTCTTAAGTGAGGTATATAACAAATAATAGAGTACGTGCATGTGCTTTGGTAAAACAATATAAAAGTTGCATGACAGGTAGACTTTGCAAGTGGCTGACTTACTGAAGATAATACAGTGAAACCTGTTTATAAAGACCACCCAAGCGAGACAAGAAAAGTGGTCTTTACATACAGGTGGTCTTTATGTACAGGTTCCTTAGTAAATGTTTCAATGAGAAACCTTTTTGAAGGGAAACAAAAAATGGTTCAAATTGGATTAACATTTTGTAAGAATAACTTTTTTGAACCTATTTTAAAAATCATTCAGCAACTACAAAGCTTTGATTGATGAGGGAAGCAAATTCCAAATGATAGGTCCTTAGTACATGATATATAAAAGTAAGTACGCATATGTGGCAAGTGAAAATCCATAGCATTTGTTGTTCTATGGCTATAAATATTGAAATAAGTTAAGGGTGACTCTTCGAGAATATGTTTATGAAGAAAGTACAAGAAAATTCCTTCTTGGTATAAATATAAATCATCAAAATGCACAATTTTGAGCGAAGAAAAAATATAAATGATGTACATGTATAGGCAAGAAAGATTTTAAATGCACATTTTTGTAATTTGACTATTCTGTCAAGAGAGGCAACAGGTGAGTTCTATTTACACATTCCCTTAAAAACATAAATAATATGAACAATAGCATATATATATACTCTAATGGAATACTGCCTTTGTCTGAATTAATAAGATTCATGAATAAACATACCAACTCCTCCTCCCCCCTTTTTAAAAAATCTCTTCCTTGTCCAATAAAATTGTAATGAGGTAATAAAAAAAGTTGATTAATCATATTTTTGTAACCATATTTCAATACTATAATGGAATACTGCCTTTGTCTGAATTAATAAGATTCATGAATAAACATACCAACTCCTCCTCCCCCTCCCCTTTCTTTCTTTTTTTTTATCTCTTCCTTGTCCAATAAAATTGAAATGAGGAAATAAAAACGAGTTGATTAATCATCTCTTTGTAACCATGTTTCTGTTAAACTAACAATATATCGAGTGGTGTTCAAGGAGTCTCTATAAGAAAACTATTATAATTGTTTCTTAGACTCCTGCAATTGAAATGAATAACAGACATTGCATTGTCAACATTTTATGTTTTGCCCCATCTGCTTAAAATCATGTGGCACACAGTATCCTGTATTCTTTACATACCGGTATTCATCCTCTTCTGCCTAATATATTTTCTGTTGATTTTTTTAATTACACTCATAACAATTACCATTAGCATTGTTTGTTTGTTTGTTGCAAAACTTACAATTAAATGAAACTAACACACACATACTGTAGGTGCAATAAATACAAAACTTTAAAAAAGTACAAAACATTAGAAAAGCACAATATAGATTACACTTTAATTGTAAAATACCCTTTAACATGTAACGTGAGATGGCAAAAAGAATCCTAACACTCTTTCCTACTGGAGGAAAAAAAAAAAAAAAATTAAAGTTTCAGTTTTAGAGCTTAAGGGTTCAGTTTCTTCAAGCCGTCTTTACTTTGGATCAGCTTTGTATAAAGTTCCGCCACACAATGATGTCATAATATAAAACTGAAAGAACAGTTGAAGAGTTCAGTTTCTTCACGTCGTCTTTACTTCGGTTCAGCTTTGTAAGTTTGATCAGCTTTGTAAGTTCCACCGCACAATGATGTCATATTATGAAACTGGAAGAACTGTTGAATTATACATAACAGTTCAGTTTCTTCACGTCGTTTTCACTTCGGACAGCTTTCTAATTTCCACCACACAATGATGTCATAATATAAAACTGAAAGAACAGTTGAAGAGTTCAGTTTCTTCACGTCGTCTTTACTTCGATTCAGCTTTGTAAGTTTGATCAGCTTTGTAAGTTCCACCACACAATGATGTCATATTATAAAACTGGAAGAACTGTTGAATTATATATAAGAGTCCAGTTTCTTCACGTCATTTTCACTTCGGACAGCTTTCTAATTTCCACCACACAATGATGTCATAATATAAAACTGAAAGAACAGTTGAAGAGTTCAGTTTCTTCACGTCGTCTTTACTTCGCTTCAGCTTTGTAAGTTTGATCAGCTTTGTAAGTTCCACCACACAATGATGTCATATTATAAAACTGGAAGAACTGTTGAATTATATATAAGAGTTCAGTTTCTTCACGTCATTTTCACTTCGGACAGCTTTCTAATTTCCACCACACAATGATGTCATAATATAAAACTGAAAGAACAGTTGAAGAGTTCAGTTTCTTGAAGTCGTCTTAACTTTGTATCAGCTTTGTAAGTTCGCCACACAATGATGTCACAATATAAAACTGGAAAAACAGTTCAATTATATATATGAGTTGAGTTTCTTGAAGATGATCTGATCCAAGGTCGAAGTCCAGTGGACACACATAATCTGAATTACATATTTTAGCCTTGCCATTGCAATATCTCAGGAACCACAAGAGGTAGGCTTTTTGTTTTCATTGTGATATGTCACAAATAATTGCATCCATTTCCTATACTGAATTTAGGGCTGAGGCACAATTAGGAGAGGCACTCGCTTTTGTCTTGTCTTTAGTTGGCAGGAGAATGTACTAGCAGATCTCGATGTTCCCTAAGAATCCCTATCCTAGTCATCACTATCTGATTCCAGATCGGTATCCTCTCGTTGAATCAATTTTTCTTGAGCTTGAATTTCTTGAGTTTCTGGAATACCTAAACCAACGGTATGTTGATTTACAATGTCTTCTTCTCCAGGTTCTGTCTTTTCATCTTCCAGCGCAGACAATGTTCCTTGAAAGGCAAACAAATATTAAAAATAAATGGATGTTACTAAAGCAATGTCTTACTCTTAACTCTTTATATGCCACACAATTAACCTCCATGTGCCATGTTGTATTTATTGTATTTACAGAGGTACTTACCGGTAAGGCTTCAAGAATGATTGTATGTCTGTAGTGCAGGAAATGCCAAGAATAATGTAAACTGATGTTAAAATGGTTGTCATGGAGCTAATTGAGACCAGAAATTGTAATCTTGGAAAGCCATTGTTTTGCCCAAAGCAATCCTTCCTATCAATGGGTGCCTATTGTTTTGTGCAAAATTGCTTGTCTAGCAAACCAAAATTTTCACATGGATGATGGATGTACACCACATAACCCAAATTATATCAATATTCTACTTTTACCTTGGACATAACTCAAAATATAGAAAGATACCTCTATGAGAACAGTACATTGCTCTGATATTTCCTCTAACCACAGATTCTTTTGGCTTTATTTAGTCACAGATTTAGGGTTAGCCACTCTTTCATGTTCAGCTTTCAAATCAGCATACATGTATGTGTACATGTAGGACCTTTCCATATATCCTGTAATATTCTGTATAAAGCGGTAATGTTTGACGTGAACTAAATGTCTCGAAACTCAACAATTGGTAACGTAAACAAATAATGGCCTTGAGACCTTGTTGCAGTTGGCATCTTTATGTGTGAATGTCACCAATTCAACCAAGCAGATTTGTTGACGTATCCAAGCCATTAAGGAACTTTAACTTCTGACATAGCAGCACTTCTTGTGGAAATGGATTGCAACATATAAACATACCTTTACATGCTTCTGTAGGAGCATGTAGATTGATTTCTGCCGTTGGTTGTTGCTGTTCAGTAGGGTCTACTCTCTCAGTCTGATGTATATCTACCACACAAGTCTCTCCTGCATTAGATTAAACATACAAAAATAATCACATTCGCAGTTTGGGTATATCAAGAAATTTGAATGTTGCAAATATTTGTTTTAGCTGTCAGTTGGAAAGAAAGTAGACAAAAGCAGTACATTATAGAGGTATCTTGGTCCAGTGGATACGTCACCGGACTGTGGATCACAAAGTCCGTGGTTCGAGTCCCGCCACGGCACTAATGTCCTTTAGCAAGACATCAATCTACATTTTCCACACTCAACCCAGGTGATGTAAATGGGTGACCTGAATTATATCAATATTCTACATGATACATCTATGAAAAGAGTTTTATGTTTGGTTTAAGGCAAGGGTTAGCGTAAGGGTGGTGTTTAGTCCAGGGTTGAAACTCATGATTCAGTTAGTGTGTCGACATTGATGATGGAGCAGTTGTGGCCACAGCATATGTTTAATAGACTTCCAGAAGAAGAGATACAAACTGTACTCACCATTAGCTTGTCCATTACAAGGGGAACCCTCAGTAGCTGGTACCTGATGACTTTCATCGTGTACATGAAGATTTCCACTGTCTTGGTTGGTATCTGCCATGGGGACTCTCACTTCCATCTCGAGTGTGTCTGCATGGATCAGAACAAAGTTGAAAAATGCATCAGTTTATGTGGTGGCTGCTTTTAGTTCATAGTTTATTTCTGTCAGCTGGATTTATACACTGTTGCCTATAAAATTTGCATAATTTTAACCTCTTTTCACTAAATAATTGTGACAATATTATTTATTCTTGATAGATAAGGTTTACATGTACAGCATCTTCTCTCAACTCTACTGATCAATCTATACGACTCTTTGGATTGATAAATAACGTTCTGAGAAGATTTAAATTATATATAAAGAATAAATCATGTTTTTCACAATCATTGAAAATAGGTACATGTTAGAAAATAGAAATAGTTTTGCATTGATTTGCAAAATTTGTTCACCGGTTTTATGAACCGTTTGACGTGCCCAAATTTGCTTCAAAATTACTGCTATGTGTATACCATATTACACTTGTGATGCAGTGGAAGTTGTAGAATTATTATTGGACTCTAATGATGGCAAATGTTTCCCTTGAGGTCAACTATGCTGTCCTTATGTAAATACAGAGCTACCAAGTGTCACGCATTGTGCGTGACAGTCCCGCATCGAGGGCCAAAAAACGCTGCCACGCATGGCACCCACTTTTGTCACGCATCAGCGCCAGACTGGGGAAAAAAAAGGGGGGAAAAAGGTATTAATTGCTAGACTATGTACTAGCAGACCGCATCGAGGCCTCAGCTACAAGTAACTCCTCGCAGGGTTCGTGTACGTATATGGCATGCACGTAGCATGCATGCAGGCCGGCGCGCTCGGACACCGAGTCATGAAAATGTCACGCATATAGCTGATCTTCAAACTTGGCATCTCTGTATCTACCAATAAATATTTGAAAAAACCAATATACTGTTGCACTTACCGGTACTAGTTTCTCCTGGAGAGCTGGGATTGCTTTGTGGAATTCCGGTGTACTGATGTATTAATGATGCAAGGCGCCTAAGCAACCAATTCTGTGAACGCAATCTTTCAACTTGACGAGGATAACAAATCCAAATGCCCATTGCAATGATGATGAGAATTTGAACCACATTGAAAATTATTGACAGGATCAACCAGATCGAGTATGGCTTGCTCTCAGATTCAGATGATGGAACTGGTGTAGTAGATGAACTCACAGATTCAGATGGTTTAGTTGATGCTGTAGATGAACTCACAGATTCAGATGGCAATGTAGTAGGTGTACTCTCCGATGACATCGCATTTTGTAGGTGGAATAAGCGGAATGGCATCTTGTAAATAGTGTCACCCACATGTATATGTATAGTTGACAAAAATTCGTCAATGCCTGTGAAATTCACCACTGTGTATGTCAGCTGCACTAGGGTAATGTGTTTTAGTTCATTTGGTAAGGTTGAAAAACTTAGGCTCACATTCCATCTTTTGGCTACCTTAACTGTAAAATAATTGGTTGTTATCTTCCCTCCGATGGAGACACTATCATCCAGGCTTTTCAGAGAAAAGTTTTTGGGTGGCAAAGAATTTGCCAAGTCAGTAGGCATTAGAATGTTTGCTGTACGTGAAGCACGGTCTGTATTCAATGGCACACCCAAAGTCTGTTGCTGCTGCAAGCATGGTATCTGTAGGTTTGTGATGTTTGATCCACAAAAATTATTGTCACTTGATGCCACTCCGACTCCTCTCAGGATACAAGCAGAAATTATCCACAAGGACACGATCATTCTGGCTGCAAAATCCATTGTTTGTTTGAAGATCAATGGACTTTAGGCTGAAGCGATATGCGATTACCGTGATTATAGAAATGAATGAAATCAAAGTCCAAGTGCATAGATTCCTGTAGTTCTCTCAGCTTAATGAACTGTTGTATTGTGTACCGGTAGTCTTTTTCTATCTAATCACAACTCGATCTTTTTCTATCTAATCACAACTCGATCTATATAGTAATATTCTTGACTACCGTACAAATAACGCACTACTACCACGACTGAGTTAACCGGCCTGGCATCCATGTAAGAGAGAGAATTCTTTATTCACAGTATCTGGTGGAGTGAGCATAGATGGCGCTATACAACAATTTATTATACGTCATATTGTAGCAACAGTGATTACAGAAATTTATGAATGAATTTTCTGATCGATCAATTAAAGTGCACAGCATCCTGTACTTCTCTAGCTCTCGACGATCAGCTGAATGGATTCGTTCATGGTACTTTGGACTTTGTGCATAATATATATTTTCAGATTTATTTCTTATTACAAAGTCTATCAAAATGTAATTAAGATATCATTTAGTTTCTTATTTCGTTCATCACTCTATTATTGCAACAATTTTGTTGAAGGTCATTAAAAAGGCAGTATTTGTAAGCTTCATCTTTACTTACATTCACAAGTAGGTTGACTAGCTGTTCCACTAGTGGTTTAACCCGCTCTTGTGGGCAGTGGCTACTTGTATATTTTAGCATTGATAGATGAACTCAAGAAGTGTATGAAATCACTGAAGTGAATTGATTGTTGCTACCCCCCCCCCCCTTCTTCCTCAAAGGATTAATGGTACAATATCTGTATTTAGATTTATGTCGACTTTAATCCCCTTACTTAACCCATGCAATACTGTTCTCCTAAAAAAGGGAGATGAACCTTGCATCCTTTTATTTGAAAATCACAAAATCTTCTGGCAGTGTATTTTTCTCTCTCAAAGATTGCTGCAACTTGCAAGTGGCTTACTTCGTTCCATTGGGCCTTTGCGTCGGGTCAATGTGGTTGGCTTCACAAACTTTTAAGAAAAAAAAAAACATATTCAAGGTGGGCATCCAACCACAATAATTTTTGCATCCTATCAGGTACCCATTCAACACCTGGGTGGAGAGAGACAAATGGAGATTAATGTCTTGCCAAAGGACATTGGGGCTGCAGCGGGGTTTGAACTGCAAACCATGTGATCCATATGACCACTAGACCATACAACCTCTTCAATAGCAACAGATAATCACATTCTCCTTTTTTCTTTTCTTTGTAGGGATGTTGAGAAGCTCTACTCGACGCCATGTGGAGCCTGTAGACAGATCATGTATGAGGTATGATAATAATTTCTTTGAGTTTCATCAATGTTTTAAAGATACTATTTGACATGTTTTGAGCTTTGACTAAGTATCTAAGGGTGGCTTAGGCTGGTTTTGCCGCTCCTTTTTAAATCCAGCAGTACCTGTACAGTATGACGCGGCAAAACCACCCCGTTTAAAAAAAACGATGATATAAAGTGTAATACACTTCCCATTTCTGTATCTTACATACATGTATAACACAGAGCTCAATGCTTTGTTGCACGCATTTGCCATTCATTTACATGGATTTTTTTAACGGGGGATTTTTTGCAGTAGTTGACCTATACTGCGCCATATACAGTATGAATATACAGTATGAACCAAAATTTACTTTGGTGCTCTATCTCCCAGTTTGGCTCGGACATTATCCATTTAGTAAATTTTCTTGTAAATCAATATATTAGTACCGGTAAATGTTCTTATGAAGTCCTTTCACATATATCACGAAATTCCTGTACCAATGTGTGTCTCGTTTTTTCCTTGACTCTCTCTCTCTTTCTCTCTCCATTTCTCTCTCTTTCTCTCTCCATTTCTCTCTCTTTCTCTCTCCATTTCTCTCTCTTTCTCTCTCTTTCTTTCTCTTTCTCTCCCTCTCTCCCTCTTTATCTCTCTTTCTCTCTTTCTCTCTCTCTTGCTCTCTCCCAGTTTGGCTCGGACATGGACGTCTACATGACCCGACCTGACCTCACCTACATAAAGAAAACTCCCAGGGACATCCTCTGTTACCCCTTCGGCCCCGAGGAGCTCCGCATGTTAAAATCCGGAGAGGTACCAAAAGTGGATGGTGACCTCAACGACAACAAAATGGTGGATGGTACCGGCGATGCCAAAGCTCACAAAAAACACAAAGGAGACACTGCTATACCAGCTCAATGAAGAGCCCCCACACACATGTTCATAAATGCCTAAGGAAACCTGCTTTAGCAACCACCTGTGTAGAAAGACTGCCTGTCTTTAGAGACCATGCATCTTGGTCCTTGTATTCAGGTTTCAAGGTTTAATGATAGATACTGGAATTTCTTAAGACGAGAGAAGTCCATGACCTGCTTTCATAAACCTGCCCTTAGCAACCACCTGTGTAGAAAGACCGTCTGTCTTTAAAGACCATGCATCGATCTTGGTCTTTGTATTCAGGTTTCAAGGTTTAATGGCAAGGATTCTGGAATTTCTTTAGACAGAGAAAAGTTCGGACCACCCAACCTCTTAAAGCCCATCTGTACTAGTTTAGGCAGGGGAGATTAGACCTCCCTGCAAGGTCACTGACAGGTGGTTATCTCATGAAATCAGCTCTCCGTTAACATAAGAAAAAGAGGATCATGGGGGACCAACAGGTACCGATTAGGTATTGTTTGCTATATAGAGGGAGCAAGTAGCTATAAGTAGTGCAGTGGGCCTTTAATGGCGGATTCTGAACTTCCTTTAGACAGAGAGAAGTTCGTGACCACCCAACCTCTTGGATACTATCCAGGAGACACTAGCATTCCGGCTCAGTGAAACATGCCCATGCACACAAACGTATGTCTGTAAAATGAAACTTACTTCTAGAGCAATCACCTGTATATTATTTTTTTATAAATTATGTATCCCTTGAACAGTGTTTCTCATTGCAACCTGTACATAAAGACCACTTGCTTATGAAGACTGCATGTCTTGTCTCCTATGGGTAATCTTTGTATACAGGTTTCAGTGTAAGAAAGAGGGTTTTGTGCATTCCTTGTGGCTCGTTCAGATATGTCATCGCAAAACCACAGCGTTTTTACGATGAATTAAAGTGTAATACGTACGCTTCACATTTATGTACTTTATAACACAGAGCTCGGTGAATACACACAGGACCTTTGTTGCAAGCAGTTACCATTTATTTGCACGTAAAAATTCAGCATGAGTCTTTTCTTTCACATGATGTGCACTTTTTTTTCTTGTAGTTAAAGTGCCTTACCAAAGACACTAGAATCTTGTTATTCATTATTTTTCCATGTGTATTCAGCAAGTTTTATTTTCTACCTTGATCACACAACATATTCTACTACTCCGTTTTCAAAAGGCGGGGAGTCGCTCGCTCGGTGGAAGAGCGGTGATCTCGTAACTGGGAGGACTTGCGAGTCTGGTATAGAATTATTTGAGAGCCGGAAGAGCATTAGTTTTGTGTCAGATCATGTGGATTTGACGCCTTTGTGGCTCTTCAAACAAATTGTTAGTTCAGTTTTGTGATTGAATATCTGTTGATTACCTAAAGGGAGTACTGTATATTCTCAAACATCAATTATAAGAAAGTCTTGTTACTCAAAGATGGTGACAGACATTTTGCAAAAATCACTCGTTATTTCCATTTCTATCATTCCAGTCTTCTCATTTGAAATATATCATTCCAGGAAGCTCAGGAAGTTAGAAATCGGTGCAAAGTACAATCAGAACAAATGTAGAATGTATTATAACTGAACATATATGTAATAGCACTTTATTTTTTGTGACATGGAAAAATTACCGGTTATTTTAAAGGAGGGAACGGTGAAAATGTCTTCCTACGTATATTTTCTATATCCATCTCTCCAGAACCTCGAACTTTATTTTGCAATATATGTGATTCATACAGTACAATGTACACTTGATCCATGTTCATGATGGCAAATGGACTGTTTCGATAGTTGTGTATCCATTGTGTGAATTAGAATTGCAAGATCAAAGATTCATCGGACCAAATGTCAAAGAGACTAGAACCTAATGTTAAGTGAAGTGTTGGTCTTGTGAGCATTCGATCCTATGTAATTTATTACTGTTTTGGAATTCAAACGTGTATAAGTTGATAGTCGAGGTTTCGGAATACTTGTATGAATATACAAAAATAACAATGATAGGGGGGGGGGCAGCAAAGTTCCTTTAAGAAGGAAAACTATTGTTGGCTCAGAACAGTAGTGATGTGATTTCACTTGTGCAATCGTCTACAATCTAAAGCTGATTTGGCTTTTACGCCGACTGGAAAGGCATTAATTGACAACACTTTTTGTGTAAATTTCCATACCCAATGCAACTGCGATTTCTCTGAAAATGTGATTGCAAAAGGATTGTAAAGTGTAGAGTGAGCTTTAATCCTTAATGTCAGACAATCCACCGGACTATATCCTTTGGCCTTTGACCTTATGACCCTTAGGTCAAATGGACGTTTCCATATTTTTAACAGTTCATTTGCAAAATTACAATATGGCTGATTTTGTTGTAATCGTGCTTAAAATAAATTGCTTACGTGCTGCAAAAAATCATTAGACATCTAGCCAGGGTAAGCGTATATTATTATTTGGCTGAAAGTGTTTTCACTAATCAGTGACTGCTATGTGGAGTGTAGTTTATAACTTTGAAACGGTGTATTTAGAAAAAAAGGAAATTTAAAGTTTTAAACTTTGTTTCATCAATGTTCCTTAATATATGAGCATGTTTACATAAGAAAGTATTCTCTCTTTTTACTTGTTGATTTATTATCTATCATATTGACTTTGACTGAAATAATCAATCAGCTACTTGCTAGCAAATTTATCTGAAATCGATGGCAGATTTACGGTGTACATTTTTCTTGTATAGCTGCATAATTTTACAAGTTATTGTGTAGCTTTACTAAAATGCAGCTTTTTAATGCTGAAAATCAATCAGGAGTTTTATGACGTGCTTGATAACCAAGAAAACAATTTTTCTTATTTCCATGTTTTATTAGTCTGCATGCCATCATGCCATGCCATGACTGTCTTCCAATTCTATAAGATGAATATTTTACCTTTCAATTTTTTTTCCTACTACTATATTTTAATGAAAATTCATTAGCAGGGGAAAAATTTCAACATGTTTGTTTGGTAAATGTATTAATTATTTTCTTACGTGTTAGATTGCTTGCAGTGCTATATTTATTGTTATGGCTAGAACCTCTAGGCTGTATTTTGTTGTGGAAAATAATTTTGTAGAGCAGTATCTTGTTTTCAACAACACAAGTACTGGTTTCATCGGGAATGCGATGATGTATTCAAACCATTAAAGCATTAATAAATGGCGTTATGTCTTTAAATTCTCTTGGTTCGTAAAAAGTGTATCTTATTTGTCAGAGTGTATTATGCGGGTGTAAAATGGGAATGGAAGTGCTTCCTAAAGTTTTTGAAATGTTTAAATTATCTAAAAGTTTTCTTGGTTTTTCATTCATGTAGGTACACAGTATTATCAAAATTCACAATGTGTTATCAACAAAATATGGTTCAGAATTTAATAAAGGATTTTTTTAAAAAAATGAAAAGGGGAGGGGGAGAGGGAAGGAAGCGAGAGACATAAAGAAGATGGTAAATTGTGAAGGAAAATATGAGATAGTATGAGAGAGAGAGAGACAGTAGATACAGCAAGAGAGAGAGAGAGAGAGAGAGAGAGAGAGAGAGAGACAGTAGATACAGCAAGAGAGAGAGAGAGAGAGACAGTAGATACAGCAACAGAGAGAGAGAGACAGTAGATGCAGCAAGAGAGAGAGAGAGAGAGAGAGAGACAGTAGATACAGCAAGAGAGAGAGAGAGAGACAGTAGATACAGCAAGAGAGAGAGAGAGAGAGAGAGAGACAGTAGATACAGCAAGAGAGAGAGAGAGAGACAGTAGATACATCAAGAGAGAGAGAGAGAGACAGTAGATACAGCAAGAGAGAGAGAGAGAGAGAGAGAGAGAGACAGTAGATACAGCAAGAGAGAGAGAGAGAGAGAGACAGTAGATACAGCAAGAGAGAGAGAGAGAGAGAGACAGTTGATACAGCAAGAGAGAGAGAGAGAGAGAGACAGTAGATACAGCAAGAGAGAGAGAGAGAGAGAGAGAGAGAGAGCTTGGTGGTTTCATGGATAATGTGAATAGTGTAGCTTGAGTCATTGAGGTGGCTTTAAACATTGGAAGGGGGAGGAGCATTCATCTCATTAGATCCATGAAAAGGCAAGGTGACCAAGTAGGGAAGAGTCAAAGTAAGGGTTCATATTATTTTTTATCACCTTTTATTTTCTCTTTTCAGTTTATTTGTTGGTTTTTTCATTTCTTCTCTATCTTCTTTTTTCCAATTTACTTTTCTTCATCTTCTCCTCTTATTCTTCTTTTTCTTTGTCTTGTCTGCTTCTTCGTCTCCTTCTTCTCTTTCTTCTCCTCCTTCTTCTTCATCTTCTTCTTCTTCTTCCCATTCTTCTCTCTCCTTCTTCTCCTTCTCTTTCTTCTTCTTCTTCTCTTTCTTCTTCTTCTTACTATTTTTCTTCTTCTCCTCCTCCTTCTCCTTCTCCTTCCCCTCCCCTTCCTCCTCCTGTCATGCCATTCAAGGGGGCTAGCCGCGAAGCTACGCCAGAATAACCTAGGTTTTGTCCTCGGATTCCTGTCATAACACAATCAAAGAAGACTCAACTATCTCCCTTGTGAAAAGTGTTTGCGCCCTCTTTAGGGCTCTCGCAAATGTATCTAGTGCCGATGACATTTTTTCAGGTCTTCAGGTTGTAACAAGTAAATATTGTGTAGTAGTCTGCAAGCTGCAACGAAAATAGTAGGATTTGAAGGAATATGAAACCAAACAAAGAGTGAAAGACTGGTCCTAAGATTTTCTAATCTGCAGACAGAGTTTCATATATTTTTTCATCAAGGAGTTGTATTTCTTTAAATTAAAGCGCCATCAATTCGGGGATCTGTGGACATGCTGCCAAAAATCAAAATTTGACAACATTTTGAATGGGTTGTACCCCCTAATTCTCAAGCTCCCTGCAGTTCATGATGCTAAGTTTGAGCAGTTTTGAGATTGGCACAATTTTTGCAATGTCAAATACACAGTGGCGACGGAGCGTCTTCCAAAGTGGAAGGGGGGCACCAACAAAAAGGGCACTTTCTGGAAAAATGGGCACCTACATAGGGAAACCTTAAAGTTAAATAAACATTAGTACATACCCCTACATCATCATGATTGTGATCACACTACCAGAGATGACGACAATAATTGTTTCTCTCTTTACGTGGTGCAAGATATTGCTCAAGCAACATACTTTGCAGTTGGGTGTGATGGGCAGATTATTAATTTTCGACCGAGCGAAGTGTCCGTGCAAACATGTTCAGATTTTATAGGTCACAGTGTGAAAAAAAATCTTATAAAGAGGATTTAAAAAAAAAACCCTGGTGAGTTTTAAGCAAAGTCTAATGAAGAAAGACTGAAAGTTCCTTTATAAGTAACATAATAATAAAATCTATTAATGTAACCAGCTTCTATGAAAAATTAAAGAAAGGGAGAGGGGCTCCAAGTCGCTTTCAATTTGGGGTGCATGTTATGGAGAAAGGAAAAGTAGGAGCTTATCTGAAGGGAAAGGGTGCACGTGTCAAAGTAAAAAAAAAAAAAAAAAAGGGCAATTATCATAGGTGAAAATGGTGCACTTCTAATTACATCTGAAAAGGGACACTCAACAGAGATGAAAAAACGCACTTGTCAGAAATGGGCAATCTGTTAAAGGAAAAGGGCGCCTATCAGATTTTAGTAGGGGCATTTATCAGATGTAAAATGATGTAAAGAAGGATTGGGGCACTTATCAGAAGGAAATATGGTACTTCGTAGTAAGCAGGTGCATACGCAGGGGGGAAGGGTTTGGGGGTTAACCCCCCCCCCCCCTTCAGTTTTTGTTTATGTATGTATTTTGGAATAAACCCCCCTTTTTTTTAATTAAAAAAGAAAAATTATGCCAATGACTGACCTAAAGAAGGTGACCTTACCCCCCCCCCCCTAACAGAGCAAAATGTCAAATTTTCAAATTTCGAGACCAAAAAAAAAAAAAAAAATGTCCTCTTACCCCCCCCCCCCCCCCCCCCCCCCCCCCCGGCTTATTCAGCGGCTGGCTGAGTCGTTGCAACATTTTCGGCCCGATTAAAAAATGTTAACCCCCCCCCCTTGAAAAAAATCCTGCGTACGCTACTGGTAGTAAGGAAAAGGGGCATGTGTCAAAATAAAAGGGGCAGTTATGAGAGGTGAAAAATTGCATTAAGGAGAAAAGGAAGAGGGTTCTTTTTACAAAGGGAAAAGGCACTTATCAGAAGAAAAAAGTGCACTTATTAAAAAAGGAAAAGGGGCACGTGTCAACAACATCAAAAAGGGCAAACATATCAGTGGTGAAAAGAGGAATTTCTGGCACAGCCACCTAAAAAGAGCCATTAACCAGAGATGAAAAGGGGCACTTATGATAATTGAAAGGTGTGTGTGTGTATTGGGTTTTTACAGACGTGTATCAATCAGATATGATTATTTACGTCTGGGGACCGACCTTTAAACGTCACCATTCGAAAGACGTGACTCAGTTTCGAACCTGCGTCCTCGGCTGAATCAGTTTGTAACTTCCACTTTTTAGCTGGATTACAGGCGCACGCCACAACCGGTATTATAAAGGGAAAAGGGCATCTGTCAGATTTTGAAAGTGACGATTAATGGGGTGAAAGTGGGGCATTTTTGAGAAGGAAAAGTGGCATGAATCAAAATAAAAGGAGCACTCATCAGAAGGGGAAGGGGACAATTACAAAGGAAACCTGTCAGATTTAAATAGGGGCAATTTTCAGAGGTGAAGGAGGCACTTATCAGAGGCGATAAGGGGTACTTCTCGTACCTGAAAACGGGGCACTTACCAGAGATGAAAAAAGGCACTTATGAGAATAGAAAAGGGACACTTATCAGTGGTGAAAAGGGGCAATCATGAGAAAGTGAAGGGGATCTTATGGAAAAAATGGGGGGATGCACTTATCGCAAGGAAAAGGGGCACTTATCAGAAGGGGAAGGGGCATTTCTTACATAGGACAAGGGGCACTTGTCCTATGTAAAAAGGGGCACTTTGGGGGTACCTGAAAAGTGTGGGGGCGCCTCTGCAAATACATACACACATAATCACAGGCAGATCTAGGGGCAGGGGACCATTATGAGAAGTAATAAAGCATGAAAATTCAGCATTTTTAATTGTTAATTAAGAATGGCCGGTGGCCCCTGTTTCAGGACGCCGGAGGGGTCATCCAGGCTGAAGTTGTGAAAGATTCACGACAAGTTTGTAGGCACACACCCTTGTCAGTCGTTGTGCCATAATACTCAGGCCCGTAGCCAGAGGTTGATGTTTGAGGGGGGGGGGGGGCACATGCATGCAATTGATCGACGTCCTGGGGAGGGGTCTAACAAATTTCAACCGATCTTGAAATTTTTTTTTTTTTTGGGGGGGGGGCACCCCCTCTCCCCCTTGGATACGGGCCTGATGAAACTGTCAGCGAAATGAGACTATGATCTAAGCTCAAGGATTTAGGAATTGTCAAATGAGAGTCTCTGCTTACAGAGCTTTGACAGAAAAAGCCGGGTACGTCAGAGATATTTCAAAAAGTTGCAGATTTCTGAATGATACTTATGGTTAACAAGTATTTTGTGGAATTTGCGAAAATCCTGCATGCTCCAAAGCAGGAAATATGAAATCTAAAATATGAACCTCTTGTCAAGGATTTCTAGTGGGTTTACTTCAGATAATTTTGCATTATTTCTCTTTTTTTTGTCATAAAAAGGATTTTTTGAATATCTAAAACATTTGATGTTAGATTCTTTTCAATTGATGCCGCTTTCCGTTGAATAATCTGACATTTAAACAAGTCTCTCAACGTTTTTACATTTGTATAAACAAGAATATTACATTTTTGTCATTGTCCATCGTAGATTAATTGAGGAAACAGGAAGGAAAAAGAGATAAGAATCTTTGTTACCATGGTACCAGTGGCATAGCTACATGGGTTTTTTGCCCCTACATGACCCCATGATGTTTTTTATTGACTTTTTACAGTACACAGACATAAATGAAGAGGGTACACATGTACATATTAACGAAATACAGGTGAAATGAAAGTAGTGACATAAAATGTCATGAACCATGATGGGGATACAAAGAAATGATAAATATATACATGGACTCTTTAGGGGCATTAGCGCGGGAGTAGGGGGGGGGGGGGGTAACATCCCTGATTAGGGACATGCATATTGGACCTTTGGGGAAAATCAATCGAATAATTTGCGACCTTAATAATTGTTTGTAATTGAGGCCAGTAGCGGTCCTAGAGGGGGCCTGGGGGCTCAAGCTCCCCAAAACAAATTTGTGAGACACGTGTAGAAAATGAATGCAAGAAAGCCCCTCAACCACCCCAAGTCTCCCTCTAAGTTAGTCTTCTATACAGTGCGTCCCAGATAAAACGAAACCGAGAATTATCGATGTTTTATCATAACTTAATCACAATTATAATTGATAAATGACACATATTTGGAAAGCTTAGATCCTCCTCTTTCATTTGATGCAATTCATTATGATGCATATTTCACGCATGAGTGATTAAAGTCAATGTGAAGAGAGGGAACCGAAAAGTCGTTTGGCGGGCGGTATCTGAATTTCAAAGAGAAAATCCCATTTCTAGAAAGTTGAGTTTCTGCCCTTTCATATGACACCTCATTCAGGAAAAATGATCTAGGAATAACAAAGTTCTGTTTGTTTAAAGTAGTGCTTGCATTTCCATAATTTGATTAAACGAATTCGTTTTTATGGCTAACTGCCGTATCAACAAACGAAATTAACAAAAGACTTAACTCCGTTTCGTTGACAATCAGCCGTATACGAAAGACTTCATGCATGGCTGATTGTCAACGAAACGGAGTTAAGTCTTTTGTCAATTCTGCTTTTTTTTGCGCAGGAGGGGTGGACTGAATTCAGACAAGGATTATGAGTCGAGAAAGGTACAACGAATCGTCTTTTTTCAAAGCTTCCGCGCTTCGCGCAGTGGGGGGGGGGGGGGGGGGGGGGGGGGGAACTCCCCCTTCCCTGCACCCACCCCTCCCCTAGGGAGCGCGGATTCGCACGCTTCGCGTGCTCACTACCGCCCCCCCCCTTAAATGAAATCCTGGCTACGCGCTTGATTCGCCCCCCTGATTGATGGTCATGATTGTTTTTACCTACTATGAATAAGCGACTTGGAAATGAGGATTAATGCCTTACCAAAGGGCATGAGCGCACTGACTTGGTTTCGAACCACATCTTTTAAATCTAGGGCAAAAATGAAACAACACAAAATGTAGACTTTATGATGGTTTCGAGAAACTATAGTCCCAATTCCGCCAGTCTGAAATGAGACGAATCTCGACGAACAGCTGATCGCTCGGAGGTCATTGAACTTTGCGGGCTGTATAATTTCAAACATGTGTTGCCGAATAGTTCTCTGTCATCTTCTCTCTTGAGATTTTGAGTTGACTTTCGAAAAGTTTTGGAATCAAGGAAAAACTGTATTTAGTCTTGGACTTGAAATGAACGAGTGATTGAACACACACAAGGTAAGTTGTAATACTTTTCCTTCGGGACTTCGGTATACTGAAACATTTATTTAGCTGCCTGAGAAGAAACCCGGGAAGAAACCAGGGGGTTCGTACGGCCTTCGGAGATGAACGGTGGCATTGTTTTCACCTCAGCCGAGTCTTGGGGGCCAGCCAGGTGTAACTGGCCGTAGGAGCTATATATCCGCTTGTTGAGCAGAGCTGTAAATTCTGTATGTTACTTTGTTAGTGAATAAGATGAACTATTATTGAATGTAGGCTATTGTTATTGTTGTATATCTTGCATTTTGGAGGAGACTTAATAATGGCTTATATTTATCATTATTATTCATTTAATAATTGATTGATTGATTGATCATTTATTTATTATTTTATATTATTATGATTTAGATCTAGATTATACTGTAAGTAAAAACTGTAAAAAAAGAAATTGCATTGTTCCAGATGGTGTGATATTCTATACTATGATATTATTAACTGAAAAATGTCATTCCCATGAAGGGACAATTTGGTTCTCATAGTCTTAAGTTACAACAGTTATAAACAAAGTGTTTTTTAACAGTTTAATTCATATGAGCAATTTTCCTATCCCTCCCTCACAATTGAGATAAAAGAGACAAAAAATGAAAATGGGAGCCTACCATCAAAATCAAGTAAATAATTTTTTTGAAAAATAAGCAAAGAGAAAAGATATGATGGCAGACAGTCAAATCAACAGACAAATTAAACAGAAACTGGAAGAAAAAAAAAACGGAAAAAAACACAACCACTTTGCAGAGAAAGAAGCCCCGATCACACATTATAAAAGCCCTTGTCTAATTTATCCATCATTTCTGATCTGCGTACATCACACAATTATATTAACACCATGGACTTTGCTTACATCATAAAGTCATGTTCAAACTTCAAACACCTTGCAATATTCATAGTAGGCCTATACTATTCTCCATCTGTAACTAGTATTAGTGTAGGCCTTGTGTAAGCTAGCCATTGTATGTGGGCTCTAACAAAAGAAGATTTATTGACCCCTCATAGAATGCAATCTCCCGTTATGAGCGTGATCTATGAATAGATCAATCTGTGCCATGCTTTTAGCTAATGTCTGTTGTTAAATCTCTATTACACCTATTGTATTTTATTGACCCCCCCCCCCCCCCCCCCCCCCCCCGAGAGCAGTGCTAGTAAAACTGATAGTTAGTGGTAATTTCATTTCATTTCATTTCATTTCTTTATTGTGTCCATATAGGATAATTGTTTATATTTACATGAACAATCTTGCTTCAACATATAATGAACATAGGAACAACATATAATTGAAATTCATAGGGCCCTGTTTTAGTATGATGAATATACTTTTAAATACTCTTTCTTCTTCTTCTTCTTCTTCTTCTTCTTCTTCTTCTTCTTCTTCTTCTTCTTCTTCTTCTTCTTCTTCTTCTTCTTCTTCTTCTTCTTCTTCTTCTTCTTCTTCTTCTCTTTTTCTTCTCTCTCTCTCTCTTCTTACATACCCTTCCTTTTCTTTTATATGGTCAGTAGGGGTACAAAGTTAAAGTAAGTATACTGAAACAAACTATATATTTGTGTATTAAACATGTCAAGGTATTTTGCATAACTAGTTTTCACATGTAGGCCTTTGGAATATTTGTCATTGCTTATTCTTTAAAAGGTAAATTAAATTTTGAATTTATATTTTCTTCTTCCAGCTGGTTAGCTATTGGCATGATATCTCAGAGATGCCAACCCTCCCTGATAATTTGTTTTTTTGATATGTCACTCCACACAAATTTCAATGCCTCCCTGATTTTTTGAAATATATTGTTCCTATTATGCTGTATGCAGTTGATAGAAACCTCCCTGATTTCTGAATGTAAAGGTTGTGGCTTTCATTAACATTTACAAAATTAATGAGGTTATACAATTTCAGATTGTACACTATTTTTTTTACTTTTTTGATCTAGTTGGTATATTCTCTACCAAAGATTTTATTAAGATGGACCTTTCCCTATGCAACAAGCAAGATGGTGGTTGTGTGTCTGGACTCTTAACAAGTGGCACTAACTATTTGCCATTAACAGTATTGTCAAGTTGTTCAATTAATTCACCAATTAGCGCTAAGAGACTTCGGTGGTAGGCGTGTTATACATGTAAGTAATGTTTTTTTGTTATTACTATTCAAAAATGATCTGCCCTGTCAAGATAAGTAACTGAGTGCAGATATCTTTCAAAATCTGTAAGTTTTGTCAACTTGCAAAACAATTTCGATTTGGCTGTGCATAGAGAATGCAGGTCTATACATTCTCAAGATTTTTCCAGATCATTTACAAGATTCTAATCCCTAATAGGTGTCTTAAAACCCCATGATCTTTTCCCCACCAACAGAATTCCATGCAGGATTAAAAGCCTGAATGACCGATGACCGATGACCATGCACTTGACTCTGTTTTTATGGCAGTGAATACTGGGTCCCCTTGAATCACAAGTACCGTACAAATTCTACACCTTTGACTCACTATTGTTGTGGGAAGGTTCCATTGCTGTTGTTGGTTTAGTTTTAATGGTGCTTATCATTGAACAGTTCTGAATATTTACAAGAGTGAACATTTATTAGCCCGCTGCCAGTTTCTTGAGACTGTCTGTAAGTGGAAACACAGTGAATTCTATGCAATATTTTACTATGGGATGTCCAAGACAATATGACAAAACTAGCCCCTGTCTACAAAGTCTGTAAAAACATACACATACTGAGGAGCAATGCTATGATTAGAAATGTTAAATTTTTTAAAAGAATTTTGTGCTTTTGGCCCCATTAAAAGAAAACTTGTGCATTACAGGTCTTTAACTTGTTTGAAAATCGAACAATCTGAGCATTACTTGGAGCTGTAGTAGCAACTCAAATGTAATAGACAAACATAGAGACATTATAATTTTAACCATCTTGGTCATAAAAGATGGAAGAAAGACTGATTTTTAAATTGTTTGTCATGTCTTACAATTCATGGAATTTCCCTAAGGAAGATTTTCCTGTAAACCTCTAAACAAAAGCACCAACAAAATAACCTTTCAATGACTTCTCTGAACAAGTCTATGAAGGCAATGTTACCGGCAGAACTTGATGTTTTAGGAAAGTTAGGAAAGTACAAAGTTATTCAATGTAGGATATTGACATCAGAATAATTGTTGTCATAGCGTGTTTAATAGAACTAAACATGAACTTAGATTCAAACATCAGTTCATGGCAACTGTAGACTCAATTTCATATATGGATTTATCTTGATTGATTTTCATTTGACTTTGTGCTAATTTGTGCCTACGTCGGTTTCACTTTCTTGTCCTAATCGATTTACAACTAGTATGGCTCTGTCTCATGACTCTAATTGATCAGAGCCAGCAAAATGTTCACATTATGAATTGCCTTTGTGTTTTGAAAGAGCCTTCAAGCAAAAGAGTTAATCACAAAGATAGATATTCAGTGGCAGATCACAAGATAGGTAAGCCAAGGTTTGGTTAGGGTTATTATTCATATATCATCCCATTGTTTCAGAACAGGGAGATAGAGCTGCACATGATGTTTTTGACAACCAAAGAAAAACTTCATTTTAGTGATCAGACATACATGTAGATGCATGTACATACTATTGTTTTTTATGTGGTGCGAAGTCCAATAAAACATCCCTCAATACGCTTTACATCCTGAAATTAATAATAAACGTTCAGTCATCAAAGAAGTTTGTCTCAAGGATCATAGGTTATAGTTTCAATGTTCAAGTGCACAGATAAACTTGAGACGGGAGCTATTAAAGAGAAGGTTGAGTTCTGGGAAGAGGTAAAAAATAATTTGTGAGCGTTATCATTGTTATTATGCAAGGGTGGAAGAACATCAGATTAAACATGTTCCCTGAAAAGCATGGCTCTTCAAATGCCTTCATATTCTAAATAATCATGAAACATCGTAAAAATCGGGGTAGGTTTTTTCGCCATGTGCTCGTGTAGTCCCATATACATCATTCTGTGTACAGTGCTTGTAACTTTGCCAAGATTTGGCCAAATTTCCTATCATTTTGATGATTCCAGAACCTTGCAATACACACGAATACTTATATACTAGATGATCAACCTTTTCTGATAAATTCCACACCGTTTCTTTCACAATGCAATCACATGACCAGAACTCAACTTTATCTTTAAAGCTAACATGTACAATGTACATGTAGGGAGTTATTAAACCCGTTGTCTACTAGATCTGGGTTGCTCCTGTGTTAGAGTCTATGAATATGAAAGAATTCAGGAGTCAGTGGCTTGTGAGCCAGAACGGTTCCCTTCTATCCCCTAAAGTTAAAGGGGGACAATTGCTAAATGTATATTTTGCTTTGAATGTTTTTTTTGGTGCCATGTTGATACTTATTGAGCATAAATTTTCAGATATTACTCAGGTAAAGAGGGATTGCAAGTTTTAAAAGTACTCTTAAGAGGGAGATAATCCTGACTTCTGAGTAGATTACTTTGTTCTTACTGCACCTGTATACTCACAAATGAGTATGGAAGCGAAGTCCAACTGCATTTTGTGGACAGGTTTTTATGCTTTTAAAACATTTTCTTTATCTAATGTTTGCCTATAGAATACTGAGTTAATTAGTGAGTCCATGCATGGGTTGATGATTTTATGCATGCTAGTACCTGTACATGAATAAGGCTTTTTGTTGATTGCCCTCTGTTATTATCTATGTATGGATTCATGATAACTTACATGTACATACATGTATGTACTCTTACCTTATCGGTTAAGAAAAATATTGCAAGCTATTGAGGTCAAAGATAATGTACATGTATGTGTACACTGTATTTCAATGTCAATGAACAGTGATTAGTACAGGAACTTTTATCGTTGAGCTTTAATAACTTATCTGCTTATAAATCTGTACATGTTCTCTATAGCTCATGATCAATTTATCTAGCTGTGGTGTCACATTTTACTTCTTTTTTCGTTGCTGCAGGAACTACCAGCGGATATGTGAAAGGCCTCGGCATTTCCTGTCATTTGGATAATTAAAACCACCTCTACCAAGCCAAGGGCTTACCTACATGTAGTACTACCTCCCTCTCTACAGCTTCCCTGTTGGATTATACCACTTTTATGCTGCTGAATACTTGACAATCATCAACCAATCTTTATATGGTAATTTTTTGTGAGTTTTAGCCTTGGAAAAATATGTGCATGACGGCCTTGTGTTGCTACATATTGCTCATTATTGTGCATGTTTTTGTGACCTGCATTGAACCTAATACATGAAGCTGTAAACTGCTAAAAAAAATAGTTTAGATAATTGTTTAAAAAATAAGTAGTTGCAAACATTAACAAGTTTCATTGATGGAAAGTAGGCATGCATGCAACCAAAGTTTGTATAGCCAGTGACTTCAGGTTATGACGGGGATGCAGATAAATTGCTGCAAGACAAAAACAGGGTGGTATTTTGTTCACAGTTCCGAACAAAAGTTTTAAATGCAGAACAAAAAGTGTTGTTCTTTGCAAAACCAGCTCAAAGCCCTGTTATGAACATAAAAAACTTGTGAAACCGCTAAAGGGGGGTCCAGAATCAGATGCTATTTCAGTAACGTGAGAGGTCCCGTCCAGTAGGAGGGTCAATGGTCAGTCCCAATCTAAATACCGTTGAGCAATTTCTGGGGAAAGAAAAACTGACCAGTTATTATTTATTCTGAGGAATCACAGCATCCCAATTTATGATAAATGATTCATCCGTAATGGGATGATATCTCTTGAATGACCAAAGGGTTCTTGACTTTTAACTGAGCGGAGGGGAGGAAAAAAAAGTGGAAGAATTTGCAATTTTTGTGAAAAAAGGAGACATTTTTATAGCAAACTGGTTGGAAGAACTACTGGTTTTATGAAGCTGCTGTAATTGGAACTATCGCATAAACGGCTGAGATTAAAAACACAAACACTTAGGACAGGAAGTTTTCTTTAAAGGAGGAAGTTTTTCTTCCAGTTACATGGACACCTACACAGCTCCCCGGTGGGCCTATCGACGCTAGAGCAACATTTTTGGTTTACCGTAGGAAGGTTCGGCAGGAAGCGTGAGCTAGGATGGCGGAAACTGGAGAGGATGACAGTGGCTGTCACACGGAACAAAACCTACTTGGGATTGATATCAACGGTCTCTTCGCCACATTTGGTAAGTCGATAAATCTTGCACTAACTTGCGGACTTCGGTATTGTTTAAGTTATTAACGGCATTGTTGTTTTTTAAGTCCATGTATAGCGAGCGGGCTGATGAGCGTTCAGAAGGTGTTTTGTGTTTTTGTGTTTGAGGTGGACTATTGTTGAATATGGACAAAATGGATCGACCAGGATTTGATAAATTGGCAATGCGGGCTTTGGTTCAGAGCATGAATCTTGGTAAGACACTCAAGTGACTCAACTTATTTCACTAATTTAATAATTTACCAGGAGGAATATATATTCTCTTCTAATTTGACAACAATTGTTGTGTGTGTGTGTACAGCTACAGATCAAACAACTTGAATTGAATGGAACTGAAACCACCATCCATCATCATCTCTGTACATACAATGATAAATGTTGGAATATCATATAAGAGATAGAAATAACATATAAATAGTCATAATAACAAATAAACACAAATATTAAGAAAATATGAAAGTATTCAAACCATTTAATATACAAATCGAAAATGGTGCATCCGTTTTAGCAAACGCAATTGATAGTGCGTATGGTTGACCCTAAGCTTTGCTTACCGGTACATTGAGAGAGCCATGGCTCATTTAGTCTGTGGAATTACATTATCAGGTGGGCTGTATATCGTACAGACCACCTTATAATTTCGTTAGAATTGCCTTTATTTATCAGGTGGGCTGTATAACGTACAGACCACCTTATAATTTCGTTAGAATTGCCTTTATTTATTTATTATTAAATATTTTTCTTATTTCTAACCACTTTTTTGTTAGCAAGATAACTTGAAAATGGCTCGATCAAATGCCTTGAAATTTGGCACACATATGTATAGGCATATGTACAAAGCACAATAACGTTTTCAACATTGACCTTCACTGATGACGTCATCTAGGCGCCATTTTGTAAAATTTTACGAAAATCAACTCATGATCATATCTTCATAACCAAAAGGTATTTCTCATTCATATTTATCATGATCAGGGTCAATATCCGTCCGGTCAATTTTAAGTCAAATAACGCGCGCTTGCGCGTACGTCCGCGCGTCAATGCGCGCGCAAAATTTTGAAATGCTCAAAATCGTCTCAAAATCATTTTGCATACGTTTTAGGCCATTCTAAGCATTTTATAAAAAATCGCGCACACGCGCATGCGCGCGCGTTTTCGCGCGTAAAACTATTAGACACCATAGAATCGCCCTTTTTTTTCTTTCATAATATTCCACATATTTTTACAAACAAATTGATACCATGTTTGTCTCTTTATGACTATTAATAATTGAATAATGGACCGTTTAACATAAATTTCAGTGCGCGCGAGCTCTTGTAATACATAGCATATATGGGCAAAAACATGCCTATGCAAAATCCATTGTAGCTCTTTAGGATGCAAGGTGACCCCAATCTTTTTTCATATTTTGATTGAGTATGAATCAGAGATATAATTTCATGTCTCATTTGACCCTCAATTAACTCATGACGTCATCATAATGGCCTCTGAACTCAAAATTTCAATTTGCCTATTATGACGTCAGCATTTTTTTGGAAAATTGATTGTATCTTTCTAAAAATTGATTAATTTTCTTCAAAATTTTGATATGTTCTAGCTGAGACAATTCTCTACAAATCTAATCCTCACAATTTTTCATTTTGACAAAGGCATCATGGCGTATTTTTGCGATTAAAGGAGGCATGTCAATTTTTCACATTTTGCGTGTATTCTCTATGGGACATGACTTTTTCTCAAAACTTGATTCTACATTCCCGTCTTTCGCGAGCAATATCTACGTCGTTTTAGCTTCATTTACGCTGAACTTCGAGTATGTTGTAGCTGAGACAAAAAGCTATCTCAAATGTACCCTTTATTTTGTCTCAATTTTTTGTTGGATCAGCCCACCTATACTTGTTCCAAACAAGTATTACAAATCTAGTTTATTATTATTATTAAATATTTTTCTTATTTCTAACCACTTTTTTGTTAGCAAGATAACTTGAAAATGGCTCAATCAAATGCCTTGAAATTTGGCACACATATGTAAAGGCATATGTACAAAGCACAATAACGTTTTCAACATTGTCCTTCACTGATGACGTCATCTAGGCGCCATTTTGTAAAATTTTACGAAAATCAACTCATGATCATATCTTCATAACCAAAAGGTATTTCTCATTCAAATTTATAATGATCGAGGTCAATATCCGTCCGGTCAATTTCAGGTCAAATAACGCGCGCGTGCGCGTACGTCCGCGCGTCAATGCGCGCGCAAAATTTTGAAATGCTCAAAATCGTCTCAAAATCATTTTGCATACGTTTTAGGCCATTCTAAGCATTTTTTAAAAAATCGCGCACACGCGCATGCGCGCGCGTTTTCGCGCGTAAAACTATTAGACACCATAGAATCGACATTTTTTTTCTTTCATAATATTCCACATATTCTTACAAACAAATTGATACCATGTTTGTCTCTTTATGACTATAAATAATTGAATAATCGACCGTTTAACATAAATTTCAATGCGCGCGAGCTCTTGTAATACATAGCATATATGGGCAAAAACATGCCTATGCAAAATCCATTATAGCTCTTTAGGATGCAAGGTGACCCCAATTTTTTTTCATATTTTGAGCGAGTATAAATCAGAGATATGATTTCATGTCTCATTTGACCCTCAATTAACTCATGACGTCATCATAATGGCCTCCGAACTCAAAATTTCAATTTGCCTATTATGACGTCAGCATTTTTTTGGAAAATTGATTGTATCTTTCTAAAAATTGATTAATTTTCTTCAAAATTTTGATATGTTCTAGCTGAGACAATTCTCTACAAATCCAATTGTCACAATTTTTCATTTTGACAAAGGCATCATGGCGTATTTTTGCGATTAAAGGAGGCATGCCAATTTTTTCACATTTTGCGTGTATTCTCTATGGGACATGACTTTTTCTCAAAACTTGATTCTACATTCCCGTCTTTCGCGAGCAATATCTACGTCGTGTTAGCTTCATTTACGCTGAACTCCGAATATGTTGTAGCTGAGACAAAAAGCTATTTCAAATGTACCCTTTATTTTGTCTCAATTTTTTGTTGGATCAGCCCACCTATACTTGTTCCAAACAAGTATTACAAATCTAGTTTCTGAGATGTTTTCTCTTTTAAAGGGAAATTTCAAATTTCCATCTTTGAATTACATTGTACAAGTTGAATGGAATGCGTGAAAGTGGGAAAAAAATCATCAGAGAGAAAGGTTGATACAATTTTGAAAAGAGCTGGTCAAATAATTAGAAATATATGATTGTTTTAGATTTCAGATCGTTATAGTTCTAGAAATGTGTGAATCTCAAGTTATTATTTGATTGGTCATTCTACAATCCCAGAGTGACATAATTTGGGACTGCTCTTCCTTGTAGTTACACTGGGTGAAAATTGAGGTAATGGTATATTTTGTCTCGTGTAATAAAGATTGCTACCTGTCTCATTTTAACAGCAGGATTCTCTGTGGTGGAATTACATACATTTTGCATTGATCTTGATGTTTGGGTATATTTTAAAGTATGTTCTACAATGCACCCTTAACTGACAAAATTGATTTGTTGTATGAAGTGTTAATTAAGTCACTGCATGGTTTAATTAGTTTCAAGAATAATTTGTCTTTGTTTTTCAGAAAAAAGACTTAAAGAGGGATTTTTAACCAAAGTTAATACCTCACTCAGATTGAAGGTGATTAATAGCGTGTAGATGCATGGAACAAGCTTTAAAGCAATCTATAGACTTATTTCATACAAGTTTTGCCAGCTTCTTCAAACCACTGTTCAATTGTCACTTCAACATATCGTTCCTGTTTTCACGAAGTGACGGTAGTGAGGAAAATCCGCACGCAAATTGTATGCGATTTTTATTCACTACGGTCACTTTGTGAAAACAGGGACGATATATCTGAAGTTTTTCTCATTATTAGAAATGCTATACAATGATATACATGTACACACTCTATGTATGAAGACCTTATGATGTTGAAATACTACACCATTGATAGCAAAATAAAAGGAACTCCATCATTTACGACTCTTTTGTTTGGAGCAGGTTTTAACCATCATGATGGTGGTAGGGGGCTAAGAAAACCCCCCTCTAGGATCATCTCAGAGGGGCTCTATACACCCCAAAGACAATCTCACTACAATTACATTGCACCTGCCCCCTTCCAGCTATCAACATTTCAGAATTTTTGTATTTTTCCCCCTTTTTTCTGCAAGACCTGTCACCTGCAAACAGTAATTAGTTTCCACTTTATTTCCACTATTGCCTCTCCTAAAGCAAATGCCACACTCGTGCTTCTGTATCCGTATCAGATGTTGTATAACTTCTGCAGAAATTTGTTGACATTGTCAGTTTTTTGTAAGTTTGAGACTTCCAGCTCCCATTGTGCCCAATGTTTACCCCTTTTCCCAGCAAACAAAGCATGGCTTGGATTTAGAGAGAAAGGGTTCTAGACCGTAAGTTTAAAAAGTAAACAGTGTAGCTAAATCTGTATTTCTTCAACTAAGGAAAACCAATTTTATGTCCGTTGTTTTTAACGACTGCAGGACATTTTGTAGCAAAGATTCAGTGAAAGTTTGA